CACTCTGTGTCCGACAGAGCTCGCCTGCGGAAGAGTCGAGATAGCGGACAGCGTCCTGGCTGGAGAGGACACGCAGAAGACCCTGAGCTGATTAGCATGGAGCCGCCGTAGAAGCCAGAGAGCGGCGGGAAGAAAATAAAAGTCCGGCTCGCAATTAACATGATTTAACAAGAGCCTTTCTGTTTTAATGTGTCGGCTGCACCCACGTTACTGAGCTGTCCTAAAACGCCCCCCCCCCCCGCGCCGCTGTGAGCTGCAGAGTCGTACAGGGCCCCCCGGAGGCAGTGGGGAGCATGACACCGTGCGTCCGTGCGTCAGCGAAGGCCGCAGGCCAGAGGAGGAGGGGGATTCGCTTCTGCCAGGTTTGTGCCTCAGCAGAGACACCCCCCTGCGGCTGGCCAGCACAGACGACACACAGCGTCCAGTATTCAGTCTCCGGCTGGCGTAAAGTGCAGGTGCGTGTCGCGCACTCCCGTCTGAGGCCCGACCTGCCGCGCGGTCAGCCGGTCAGCTGACTGACCCCCGCGCCCACAGCGGGTGGCGAGGGCTCAGCGCTGAGGGAGCGAAGTGACACAGGAACAGAGGGCCCTGATCTGCACCCAGAAACCCCCCCGGGAAGAACACACCGTGGAGCCCTGCCTGCGGACAGGCATCGATATACAGTATACTGTAACGCACCGGGGGCTCAGGCGGGCGCCCTTGCCGCATCTGATCGGCCCCATCCCGACTGGAGGCTCGAACCCGGGACTTCCGCGTCTCTCTGCAGCGACCCATCCCCGTGAGCTAAAGAGAGATCTCTCCACAGCCCAGTAGCTGTGGTCCTGCTATCACAGGGAAGGGCGGTGACGTCACCTGCTCTGGTACGCCGGCTCTTACACAGTGCCTGTCGGCCGTAAGCGTTACAATACAATATGAGCTTGGCCGTAGCAATCTGGGTTAGTCTGCGCCGGTTTCATTGCGCTCGGTTTCCAGAGAACTGGGACACTCCTACAAAGACCCGCGGGTTATTTTCTGCGAGGCGCTGGTGCTGTCTGCCGGCGTGAGCGGGGATCAGCAGGGACACGGCAGAGGGCACCGGGGTTCGATCAACACTGCGCGCCGATTTCACTCAGGCTGAGGGCTTCGTCCCGCGAGTGGGACTGCAGGGAGAGTGTCTGTGTACAGCGCGTGCGTGTGTGAGGATGTGTTTGACCACGTACGAGTGTGTGAATGTACTGTATGCGAAAGAGTGTAAAAGTGTGTGTGTGTGCAAATTCTGTAGGACTGGGTGTGTGTGAATTTGTGTGTACGATTGTGTATATGTGTGCATACTGTAAGAGTGTGTAAATGTGTTGTGTGTGTATATGTGTGAGTGTGTGTCTGTGTTTGAGTGAGCAAATATGTGGGTGAGTGTATGAGTGTGTGAGCGAGTACTGGGTTGCGCGTACAGTAAGTATTACAGGGATTTGGGAAAGCAGAACCGTAACTCTTAATTAACAGGCAGGCTTTATTGTTTTGCAGTTAATCCGCAGGCTCGGAAAAAAAAGGACTTCCAGAGAAGACCCCTCGGACTCGCTTGCCTTTCTCCGAGCTTTAATTCGCTTCCTAATTCCCGTCTTGTTCCAGTTTGTTAATCCGGCAGGCCCCGTCCTCGCCGGGCTCCGGGGGCCGGACTGCGCCCCTGGCGCGTCCCCGGCACGGGCGGCTCATCAGCCTCATCTCCGCTTCCATTCTGTTCCTATTAACCTTGCACTATCATTTGTTTTACAATTAGGAGGCACCGTAATAGCTTTCGAGAAGAAATTAAAGTTTTGATTTTTAACTGGAAACCACGTTGCCGTTCCTAATTGGAGATTTTCCACGTCGAGCCTCCGGCTCTGCGCAGACAGGCTGACGTCACCAGCCGAGCGCCCGGCGACTCCTGATGCAAAACACCGGGCTCAGCGCGGCCCCACGCCTCACAAAGCGCTCCAGTACGAGAGGCACTAAACAAACCTTGGCAAAGACGAGAGCCGGGCTGTGCCAACACAGGCGCACTTCACTGCACACGCCCACGTCAGGGAGGAGGGTTCCGGGGGAGAAGACACTTGTTCAGTCCCAGCTGGAGAGCATTTAGAGAGAAAGAGCGCCTGTGTCTCTGCTCACACTCTCAAAGTCGTGTTTTTATGTTCCGACAAGCCAAGATTAGGAACGAAGATGACAATTGCAGCTTCAAGTTTAGGCACTCTGAGCAAACGCCGACTCCCCAGCAAACGCCTCGCTGCCGTCGCGGAGAAAGCCGAGAGGCGGCTGTGTGGCTCCACGGCGCCCCCCGCTGGAAGGGAGGAGATCAGCACGCAAGCGATCCCGCACTCGGGGAATCGTTCACGACTTGAGCAGAGCACCAGTCATTGTCAGCAGAAGAGACTGCTTCACTTTCTCGAGGCAGTCTTCTCTCTCAGATGAGCAGCGCTGTCACTTTCACTTGCCTGAGTTTCTTAACAGAAAGGCAAGTCCTCCCTCCCCAAATACTGTACTGTATTTGCTTACGATCAACCGCGAGCTGATTCTGTGGAGGCGTCTCTGTTACCTCCAGCAGCCTCAGGAACGCTGTGCAGAAGCGCGCTGCCTCTGGCGCTCCGACAGGAGAAACTGGCCTCTGTGTGCCGGATGGAGCGTGCAGCATGCTGGAGCCCTGGCACACAGCTGGCGATCGAGCTCGGGGCGGCCAATGAGCCCATCCCCGCCAGCGCCCCGCCAGCGCCGGGGAGAGAGCCGGCCCCCGCTGGCAGTCCGCGCGCGCTCGCGGGACAGGACAGCCAGCTCAGCCCCATACAATAATAAGAATAACTTCTTACATTTCTATAGCGCTTTTCTAGACACTCCACTCAAAGCGCTCTACAGGTAATGGGGACTCCCCTCCACCACCAGCAGTGTGCAGCCCCACCTGGATGATGTGACGGCAGCCATAGTGCACCAGAACGCTCACCACACACCAGCTATCAGTGGGGAGGAGAGCAGAGTAATGTAGCCAATTCATAGAGGGGGATTATTAGGAGGCCATGATTGGTAAAGGCCAACGGGAAATTGTGACCAGGACGCTGGGATTTTTAATGACCACAGAGAGTCAGGACCTCGGTTTTACGTCTCATCCGAAGGACGGCGCCTGTTTACAGTATAGTGTCCCCAACTCTATACTGGGGCATTAGGACCCACACGGACCACAGGGTGAGCGCCCCCTGCTGGCCCCACTAACACCTCTTCCAGCAGCAACCTTAGTTTTTCCCAGGAGGTCTCCCATCCAGGTACTGACCAGGCTCACACCTGCTGAGCTTCAGTGGGCTGCCAGCTGTGAGCTGCAGGGTGACGTGGCTGCTGGCTTTACAGCTCGGACACAAACACAGCTGGATCCAGGGGGGCTTCCTGCCGTGCGAGACGGACGCAGCGCCGAGGAGACGCAGGCGCCGACTGGAAAGCTGAGCTCGGAAGCAGCAGCACGGACTCAGACCGGGAGACGCGGCTGACAGCCCGGAGCTCCGCTCGACCTCGAGTGTTAAGACGAAGCCGACGAATTTTGAATGAGTTTTCGTAATCAGCGCTGGGTGTTTGTGTCAGTGTCTTGGAGCGTGAACTCTGTGTAGCGCTCTCTCCTCCCAGGTGGGACACTGCCGTCCCCTCGAGGTGGTACTTCACTCTGATTGCTCCAGCACAGCTCCGCCGTACGAACGGGTAAACGCGTAAATCACAGTGTATCAAAGTGTTCTTCTCATGCAGCTCTGGAGAGTCTGGAGAGCAAAGTAATCAGGACGGAGGACGGCTTGAGACAAAATAATATTCAAATTGTGGGCTTGCTGAGCTGTGATGAGCACAGCAATCCTTAATGGTTGCCAAATCTGGCCAAGAGGACGTTATTTACTGAGGGGGTGCAAGGATCCGGAAGGGGGGATCTCTGCAGGACACTGGGGTCCAGTCCAGCAGTGACCAGTCTGTACAGGAGAAAGGACGTCTCTGAAGGACACTGGGACCAGTCCAGCAGTGACCAGTCTGTACAGGAGAAAGGACGTCTCTGAAGGATACTGGAGTCCAGTCCAGCAGTGTCCAGTCTGTACAGGGGAGAGATCGCTGAAGGACACTGGTGTCCAGTCCAGCAGTGAGATCTCTAAAGGACACTGGGGTCCAGTCCAGCAGTGACCAGTCTGTACAGGAGAGAGGAGATCTCTGAAGGACACTGGTGTCCAATCCAGCAGTGACTTGTCTGTTTAGGAGAGAGGAGATCTCTGAAGGATACTGGGGCCCAGTCCAGCAGTGAGAGCTCTGAAGGACACTGGTGTCCAGTCCAGCAGTGACCAGTCTGTACAGGGGAGAAGAGATCTCTGAAGGACACTGGTGTCCAGTCCAGCAGTGAGAGCTCTGAAGGACACTGGTGTCCAGTCCAGCAGTGAGATCTCTGAAGGACACTGGAGTCCAGTCCAGCAGTGTGAGCTCTACAGGACACTGGAGTCCAGTCCAGCAGTGACTTGTCTGTTCAGGAGAGACGAGATCTCTGAAGGACACTGGGACTCCAGCAGTCCAGCAGTGACCAGTCTGTACAGGAGAGAGGACGTCTCTGAAGGACACTGGAGTCCAGTCCAGCAGTGACCAGTCTATACAGGGGAGAGGAGATCTCTGAAGGATACTGGGGCCCAGTCCAGCAGTGAGATCTCTGAAGGACACTGGAGTCCAGTCCAGCAGTTGGGTTCTAGTCCTTCTTGCTGTACCCTGTATTGCATAAGGTCCTAATTGCTGTCTCACAACATCTTTCAACATCTGTAGAGTCTTGTTTTGATGGATGCGGATAGCTGGGTGTGTGTTTTTTTTAATTGTTCCTCAAACAGCGGAGACGTGTAACCTTGTTGTTTGGCAGAATTGTTTTGTGGGGAATTAAGGAGAGAGAGATATCCCATTGGTGTGTTCCGCCTGTGTTAGGAGGTCTTTGTGCCTGTTGATGTTTGGAATGAAAAAAACGGGATTAACCTCCCGAGTTTCATTTAGCGCATACTAGGTACTCTTTTAATGAATCAAGTCTTTAAATCCTTCTTGACATTGCTTTGTGGTCTGTATGACTAATATTTCTCTTTTGTCCTGGATCAGATTCGCTGATCAAATGCGCCGGCTGGCTGTTCAGATTTCCTGGAGGAGCGATGCAGATGTTGCCATGACACGGCTGTCTCATCTAAAGCAACGGGATGTTTGTAGGTTTGCTAATAAGCCTTCTGGTCTGGCAGCAGCCTCCTCGTCTGCAGAAACACAAACACGCCGGGCTTTTCCAGTCCTGCAAGGAGGAACGGGAGTGAGAAACCAGGCAGACTGGGATATGTGGAAATGCATAAGTCGTGCAAAAAAATGCTTTCGCTTCGGTTTAGGATCCTCCGATGCCAGGTTAAGATCCTTACCTCCTGTCCGTATTCCTGCTGGAACGTGATGAGCGATGTTATGTTGGGCACACACCTGAGTGCTGTAATCAGTCATGCACACTCCTCTGAGGAAGAGTGTCTGATCTGACTGCGGTAGATACATGGGGAGAGTTCAAGCTTTCAGCCAGACATACAGCTGAAGAAGCATTAACATTGCACTTAGTGTTTCACAGTGTAAAACTAGTTTTTCTCCGTCTATAAGCTGTGATTTTCCGCCGTCTTAGTTAAACTAACAGATCTCTTGTGAAGCTGCTGACAAGCGGGTTCTGCAAGAGAAACTTATCTAATCGCGGCCGCCTCGAGGCGGCAGTGAACAAGCCGTGCTGTTAAACTTCTGTACAAATCCCGTCCTTTATTGTCGAAGGCAGAACTGGCAGCTTAACCTTGTCATGAAATCTATAAAGTCTCCGCATTTCTTTGAGACTGTGGAACTTTCCAAAGTCACTCTTCCCTGAATACTTGAATACAGAAACCATTTTCCTGAAACTTGCCTTGTCCCCTCATAGAAGACAGCTATATTTTTGCCACTTCAAATATGTTTCTGCCGCCTGTATCAACAAAGAAAAACTGAACACTGACCAGGTGCAGGTGATTTAAATCTTCTGTTGTGGCAGCAGGCTCGGAAGGAAAAGAGAAAAGACTTGTAAACGGGGTGGCTTTGTCTGGCATATTGAAGCTACAGCAATCTGACATCCACCTACACTATAGGCCAAAGCCACACTCAGGGCCAGGACCGCATATAATGCCCAAGAAGCCATAACCAGACACTGCCCTGCTTCCACAGTGCCCTCTATTGGACAGGAGGGGAATTGATCTAACCGTCCATTTAAATACACCAGTGTCTACTCATTTTCCCATAAATTACAGTCTGGGTCTAAATATTATATAAAATACTCTAACAATATCTATGGGGGCACTAATGAGAGAAGAAAGCCTTTCCCTTGCAGGTTGTTAATGACTTTCTTAAGATGTCTGTAATGGGGAAGTGGGCCTTTAAGGGATGTGAGGCTGACGCCCAGCCCAACCAGTTTGCTCACTTCCAGAGCTCTGGGCAGGTGGGTAATTTATTACTGCTGCACTGGGCCAGACCCCAGACCCCAGAACCGGTTTGACCTCATTGTTCCTGCTGTTATTGTTCTAAAACTCCTTTCTAAGAGGAGTTCAGATTGGCATCGGGTTCACAATAAAGCTTTTCTTGGTTCCCAATTCAAAGGATTTTGGAAGGGGTTCAGTCACTACCCTTACATTGATGTTTATGACACAGAAATTTAGGAATAAGGTTAGATCCTAACCTCTCATGTCTTCTTGCACCTGGGGCGTCCCGTCACTCATATCTCTCGCACCCCATCTACACCTCTGGATCAATCCTCACAATATAGAGGGGGGTCTGGCCCTTCCCTCAGCCAGGCGTGCTTCACCAAACACATCTAGTCTGTCTCTTGCATTTACCTGGACCTAACTGGAATACTGAAATGGGAACCTGTAAGAGACTTCACGAATTCTTCCGCGTTTGTCTTGTATTTTAGGAGGAAAAACTGAATCCCGAACAGGAGCCGAACAAACTCTGTGACTCACCTTTTCCGAGGCCACGGCATTAGTGATCTAACCTGTTAGAACATGTTACATCTGCTGCTTAGACATTCAGCTGAATTTCTGCTGCATAGATCTCTGCAGAATTCTTATTTTAACAGCAATCGACCCAGCCACTCAAAAGCTCAGAGACTCCCCAGAAATGGATGCTTTGCAGATATTCCAGCAGGCAGGCCAGCACAGGTGTCATTGCTGGCAGGTGCAGTGCACAAAAACCCTCGACATTACCCAGAGTCTCAATCTGACGCGAGGTAAGGATTGTGATTTCCCACAGGGTGTCTGAATCTCAAGAGGTGGTTCAGGGCAGGGCCAAGGGTGATCCTCCTGATGCAGATGGTAAAGAACCTTTCCAAGGGGTGGGTATCAGTAACATATTCCTATTATTAATAAAGATCAAGATCTCACACTTTGTGAGAGCAGTCAGCCAATCTCACTAATTTGCATGGATGCCTAAGTGCTAAGGTGTGTCTCCAGCGGGGAGGCCTATATGAGTGCCAGCAGATGTGTTTTATTAAAAGGTACAAGAGCTCTGAGAATGGTCATTGTCTTCACCACATTATATATGTGCCATACACAAAGTCACATTATTCACTGTGGTACCCCTTTCCTCCTCTACCTAAGTGGAGCTTCCATGCAACTGTCTGTCACCGATTTTAAAGATAAAAGAACAGAAGAACAGCGTAAGTGAAAGGGGTTACTGGACCTGTCTGACCCATTTGATTCAGGTGAATGACAGCTGGATTTTGTGGAACTCACTCTCTTGGACAAACACAACGTTATCATTTTAGACGCGACACAAAAGATGCCAGTGCTCTTTTCACTGAGCAAACACAACGTTATCATTTTAGACGCGACACAAAAGATGCCAGTGCTCTTTTCACTGAGAGCAGATTTCGTCCTTTTGCGGGAAGTAAAGTTTTAAAGAAGCTACATCTCACTGCAGCTGTGCAAGTAATCAAAACATTCTGATGTGTAATAGATTTTAATTATGTCACAGGAGCACTGCTGCTCTGGACGTTAGCTGAAACAGGGACTCTGTTAAATTAGACTCCACTCTATATAATCACATGCTGGTAGGCTTTTACTGTTCCTGCTGATATGAGCTTTACGGAACTTACGAAACTTTAAAGACATACACTGAATGGCTGAAATGATTCAATTTTATTACTGTGACTAACTTGTGAAGAACACTTTTGTTTAAGAAGGACTTCTGGTGACTCATTTACCGAAAATGTTTCAATAGAACACCTGATGATTAAGTAGAACACCTGATGATTCACCCTGAGGATGATTTAGCAGTGATGATCTTTCGGGAGAATGACAGGTGAGTCACTCTGTCCATGATTTGGTTGCGATGTGTCACTTGGACACCTGGTGACCTATTGAGGATTTGGCAGTGATGATATTTTAGTTGGACGCCTGGTG